CTTTATAGTTTATACATATTTATGGGGAACAGCTTTGTATGAATAAATATGTATGCATATAAATATATACACACATGCTTATACACAAACGTATGTTGTAGAATATTCATGATCAAACTATACTTAAGGTGGCAAAATTGACGTTATTTTATCACAATAATAATTAAATCACTAAAACGTCAAATAGGTATATCTCACACACCCAATTCTAGAGCTCTGCCCTATTAAGAACAAGGGTGTATGCCATGGGGTGATCTTTTATATAAGGGACTTCTGAGTGACAGTTTTATATACCTGGTGAGAGGCAGTAAGAAACAGACCCTGGAGGACACTGGACAGGAAACTGAGTTATACTCGGTGAAACTGTCACTAACCACTTCACATGCCACAGCACACCTGCCTTTTACTGTGTGTACTAGTGCGTGTGTGTGTGTGTGTGTGTGTGTGTGTGCAAGTGCAGGACAGATGACAACCTTGTCATGTCATCCTCAATCACTGACCACCTGACGTTTTGAGACAAGGTCTCTTGCTGAACCTGGAGCCAGCCAGTGAGCACCAGCATGGGGGAACCAGGGATGTCACTGAGCAATTTACATACATGTTGAGAACCTGAAGTTAGACCTTCATGTGTGACAAGAACTTTATCAACCCAGCCATCTTCTCAACCTGTTTCTTGACTTTTCAAACAGGTCTCCTGCTGGGCACAGTGGTTCATGCCTCTAGCCTCACACTCAGGAGGCTGAGGCCCGAGGGAGTTCAGGGCCAGCCTGGGCAACAGAGACAGACCTCAAAACAACACAAAGTTTCAGTGAGACACACACCTGCGAAGATTCCAGAACCTAAGAGGTGGAGGCAGGAAGGGCAGAAGTCCGAGGTCACCCTTGGTTACCCCAAGTTTGAGGTCAGCCTGTGCAAGCATGCCTGCACAGTGGTGTGAATGTACATCCCATATGCATCTCCAGAAGTCTGAGAAGACAGAAGTGTACTCATAACCTCCCACTGAAGGCAAGCACTGTAAAGACAGTAGCTCACTGCCTTGCAGTCTTTCCCCTGAGGAAGCAGCAGACACGCTCTCTTAGAAAGTCTTTCACTCAGGCTTTCCCAGGAGATTTTAAATAAGTGAAAAATAGCATTTGAACACATGATGAAAACATGCTGGGGGGAAAAATCAAAATTATGTGTTTATGTCTTTAAATGGTGACAGATATTAAACCTATTTCTCCAAATGGGAGACTCTGGAGGAGGAGGAAGCTTCCTTTCCCAGAGTCTCTGCGTCCATCCTAGCTCCTAGTACAGGCTAAATGCACACAACCAGTCAGATACAATACTTGTGACGGACTATGCTAATTGTGCAACTTTTTTTTTTTGTAGAGTCGAGGCTGCTTCTTTTCTTTATTCTGGGGATGGGATTGAGGTGCATCTTCTGTTCTAGAGATAGAGTCTTTGTAGCACAGGCTGTCCTAGAATGTCCAGAGTAAATAGCTCAGGAAGGCCCTGAACTCGAGATACCTCTCCTTCCTATATCAGCCTCCAGAATACTAAACCTCCGTGAGCCACCGAGTCTGGCTTAAAAGAGGTGAAGTTTAAAACTTCACAATGGATATTTCATTAGCCGTTATCATCTCAGGAGGTGAGCGTGGCTATCATTTTATGGACAAAGACTGAGGCACAAAGAGATCTAGTGACTTTCCTAATGTCACATGACAGTTAAGTGGTGATGTAGGGACTTGGACCCAGGATACCTGGCCCCGTGTTCTCTCTTTCCCCTGCTCTACAATGCAGATGACCCTGCAGTTAGGACATCAGTGACAAGCTTCAGGGCCAGGTTGCCAAGAGTTGCATCACGACTATTCATCCTTCTCTGCAACTCATTTTGTTTCCTAAAGGAAATGAGAGATTGCTGGAATTCAGCAAAAGTGAGACGGCCGGAAGCTGCAGCTGACCACAGGCACATGTGGGTCTTCTGCAGGCTGCTGGGGAAAAATTCCTAAGCGATGACCTTACTGCACAGACCAAAGGGCAGATCCTGGGTGGGTCACTCTCTGCTGCCTGGGACACACCCAGTACCAGATGGGACTGGGCCTCGGCTACCTTCCACAGCATGTGGGAGAAGAGAAGGCAGAGGATGGGAGCTGGGTGGCTCACAGCCACTAATCCTTGCCCAGGAGACTAAGGAGAGGCCGATGGCTATGAGTGTACAGACACTGAGGACTGCTCGTGTGTGTTCAGAGCGTGACAGAGGCAGGGGCCTGGTCAAGCCCACCCAGAGGCTCTGTCAGCTGTTCTTGCCACGTCACACAGATCCTTCCGGGAAAGCAGACTGTGGCTTCCCCGGGCTCACTGGGAAATCAGACCTACCAGTGAGAAGAATCCTGGAAATTAACCACTGGGGAGTTCTGTCTCACCTCCCAATCAGGAAGAGACGAGAAATGAAAACTTTGGCGGGAAAACTAAGATCATACCAAATGCTGAGCCAAAGAGTCGTAGCCCATGGAATCACAGGTAGGTCCACACTGTCATAGACAGGACGGTGCCTGACAATGACAGCCCAAACTACTTCTGTATAACTTCTCACAACCACACATTCTCATTCAGTGTCTTCCTCTGTCTCTTTCTGCTTCTCTGTCTGTCTGTCTGTCTCTCTCCCTCCTGTTTTGTTAACATTCCAAAGAATTAAGAAAAGGTATAATAAATACCCATGTACTCAAACCCCAACTAAACAGCTGTCAAGACTGTGACATATGCTTCAGTTTCTCCTCATACTGAAATACTGTTTTAGACATGATTTCTCTGTGTAGCCCTGGCTGTCTTGGAACTCACCCTGTAGACCAGGCTGGCCTCACACTCCTGGAGATCCGCCCGCCTCTGCCTTCTGAGTGCTGGGATTAAAGGAGTGCGCCACCATGACTGGCCTGAAATGCTTATTAAGGCAAGTCCCAGACACCACGTTGCTCCAAAGTTATGCACTCCAGTTTGCAACTCTGAGGAATACGGGTGTTTCCGACTGGGTGTGGTGGCATGCGCCTGGAGCCCCAGTACCGGAATAGCTGGAGCCAGAGAACTGCGGCAAGCCTGAGGCCACTGTAGGCTACACAGCCACTCCTTCAAAACATAAGACAACAGAAGGGTAGGCCAGGGGGAGAAGGGAGAGGGTTGGCGGGGAGGTGGGGCACAGGTACACTGTGGGCACTGTCCTTGTGGCTGTGGTGTGAGGCTGGTGCTGTTCTCCATCACAATGAGTATGAACAAGCACACAGACCCGGGCCTGACAGACCCCAGAGCAGGGTAGCAGGGCACCCTGGTGATAGAGCTATCCTTGCCTTTCTGGAAGACCTCTTTGCAATGCAAATCCAAAGAAAGCTTAGCAGGCTCTGAGCTGTCCTGACTCAGATCTTCTGCGCCTCTACCCATCAGAGAAAGTCCTCTGAAGTCGACCATGTGCTGGCAGTGCCCAGGGTTACCCAGCTCTTCCACACCTGAGCCTGGGCTTGACCTGCAGCAGGTGCTGGCACAATGCCAAGTGAGGCCTGACAATCAGATCATAACTACCCCAAAGCTCCGCGCTGTTCCCCATTAACATAAACAGGGGCGGGGTGGGGCTCAGTCATAGAGTCATAGGGTGCAATCTCAACAACTTTCAATCACCCCAAACTTAAGTGTCTGGAAACTATAAATCCTCTTTCCACTAAGGTAACAATTACGGGGCTCTGTGCCTGGATCCTGCTTGTTGGTGCACTGAGGGCAACATGGTTGGAAGAGAGCCTGTGAAAAGTGTGGGGGACCTGTGACATGGAATGGACACACCCACCCGAGCCCACAGGAGCTCTACTCCTCCAGACTTCCTGACTATATAAGAAAAGGCAATCCCCAAGCGCCCTGACTGGCTCCCAGCCCACACTGTCCCAATCCACTTTCCCACGAACCTGGCGGAGCTCAGGCTTTGCTTCAGAGACCGGCCAGCACTCCTCTCAGCTCTCCCAGCTGGCCCAGGCAGAATCCACCTCTCTCTCACTGCTCCACACACGACTCAGACTCACCAGCCTGGGCTCCGGCCATCTGGGTGTCTGGGCCCTGCTGGGGAAATGGTATCTACAGGATACAGGATACAGGATACAGGCTTTGCAGGCAAAAACCTATGGGTTCCATCTTCTCTGGGCGCTCTAAGCACTTTGGATCCTGGCAAGCCCTTTTCTCTTCTTTCCTGAGGTGACTTAAATGAGAATGGCCCCCTGAATCTGAATGTTTGGTTCCCTACTGGTGGATTTGTTTGGGAAGGATTAGGAGGTGTGGCTTTGTTGGAGGAGGTGTGTGACAGGGCTTTGAAGTTTGAAAAGCCTGTACCTTTTCCAGTTAGCTCTGTCTCTATGCCTCATAGTGGTTGTCCCAACATGTGAGCTCTCAGCTTCCTCTCCAATTCTGTGCCTGCCTGTTGCCGTGTCCCCACCGTGAGAGTCATGGACTCACCCACTGAAAGTGTAAAGTAAATCCCTATTTAAATGTCCTCTTGCATAAGCTGCGTTTGTTGAGGTATCTCTTCACAGCAATAGATGAATAGCTAAGACACCTGTAATCCTTGATTCTGCGGCGGAAACAGCAGCCATAACAGACAGCTAGCTGCCTGTGCGGCTGAAGGCCATTCCCAGCCTCTCTATTTGTCTCACACTGGACATTATGTACACTTCCACGACCCCTACTGTAGCTAGGGGCAGCTACTGACTCCTTTATGGACAGAGAGAGATGTAAAAAGCTCAGCTAGGGCCACAGGTGTCTGGACTCAGATTTCCTTCTGCTCGGGATGTTGAAGACAGCCATGGAGGAGCTGAGGAGGCCCTGCATTGACAGTTAGGTTTGTCTTCTCCAGGCTGTTTGAAATGACAGTAAGCCATCTCTACCACTTGGCCGGGATTCACCAGGTATCCTGTGACCTGCAGCCCGAGGTGTCCCAGGGAGACAGCCTCACAGAGTGAAGACTCACCACCATCCAGCCAGGAAGCACTTACCGCACTGACATACACTCCACCCCGGCTAGTTCTTAGCTTTCACAAGCAGCTGCCCAAGGCCTCGCTTCCAGACCACTGTACTGGCAAAGGGTGCTGGCAGCAGACACCGTCCACTTCATCAGCCCCCAGTGCCTCTCCTGGAGGAACTGCAGCTGCCGGGATGTGGCTCCACTCTGAGTGGCTGTCATCAGGCCTTTGGTGGCACTTGAGAACCAAGGAGGAGGTGCAAGGAGGGTCTGCAGCCTCCAGAGCGAGCGGCTTTTGCAGAACTTAAAAGCAGAGGGTTGGACCTAGCCGACCCGCACTTCCCCCTCCTCCACGGCCCAGGCCCGTCCTTCCTGTGGCCGGTGCTCAGCCCTGCTCAGCCCCCGGTGCCCGTACTTACTTTCACACTTAGTTCTAACTAGCCTTGCTTTATTTTCGGCTTCAAACCCAACAGCAGCCCCACCCAGAGCCCAACGAGGCTTTGCTACACTGTTGACATTCTTTTCCTGTTACGGATGAAAATAAACCTGTGGCTATTAAAGCACGGAGTGTTTACTCAAACGCCACCTCCGATTACCCTGTGGAGGAGCCGGCTTGGGGAAGCCTCCCTTTTCTGCCCAGCTTCCTCCTTCCAAATCACCTTATTTAGTCCTCAAAGGCCAACTTTCTGGAGAGAAGGAAGTTTCTGTAGTGGACCCACATTGCTCTCTCTCACAGCTAACTAAGATGGCGCTTTCTAAAGCTACCCAGCTCCTAACACTGCTCTGTGCCCACTGTCTCCTTGCTGACTGCTGCTGGGCTTGGGGCCCACGCTCTGAAGCGGTGGTTAGATCCGATGGCTCATGCTTCTCTGACTCACTCACACGGTGCTCACAGAATCTTCATGGGTAGGGACATTACTTTTCTGGCTTAGGGATGAGGAAATACAGCCCTAAAGGTAAATGCCACTCACCCAAGCGAGGCCCCAGGGCTGAGAGTGGTGGTTCCAGAGGCTCTGCCCTTACCCACTTGGTGATGCTACCTCTGCAACACAACCTTTCCAGGCACTGAGTGCTGAGTATTAAGCTCTGGGCTGACCTCAGACTGCCTGCTCCCTGCTCCCACCCAAACAACCTAATGAAGTCTTTAAAAATGAAGAGCCCGAGGCTCAGGGTAGTGAAGTCACCCATACACGGCCACAGCTCCAGCACACATGGAGCCAGAATATTGTTGCCTGGCTTGTAACTCCAAAGCTACCAACTGGCAGGCTCCAGCAGCCCAAACCCAGGTTCACCAAAAGCCCCTCTTCTGTATCCTGTCCCTAGGGAGATACTGAGAGATTGTTCTCCAAAGCTAAGGAGTGACAGAGGGTCACTTCTGCAACAGAGCCTCAGAAGTCTCTTTCAAGTCTATCGAGCAAACTAGAGAGCAGGTGCCCCGTCCCAGAGACCACCATTCTACATGGGCCACTGGACACACTCAGGATCCAGGTCAGGGCTTCCCAGTGGCAACAACTGACCAGTGAGAGCTTTATCCTTGGGGGTGAGCAGAACTGTTTCTCTGGCCTTAGAATCTGAACCTTCCTAGGATCCTATGCCAGTAGGATAGGGCCTTCCTCTGTCCCCAGACTGACTGACTGGCATGGCTTTGCCCAACTGTCCTGTAGCCACAGAGTGGAGACTTGGGGTGTAGCTCAATTGGGGTTCTTGCCTGAGCTTCGTAAAGCCCCGACTTTTACTCTTCAGAGGTACAGATCTCAGGGATCCTTAGAACTCAGGGAGGGAAGCCTTGTTCATCAAGGCCATCCTTACATAGCCAGTTTCAGACCAGCATGGGCTACATGAAACACCCCAAGACACACACACACACACACACTCTTTTGATCCAGATGGCCCATGTTCAAATCTCAGTTTTGTCATTTACTAGCTGTGGGTCACTAGACAAGTTCTTTCTCCTCTCTGTGCCTCAGTTTCCTCTTCTGGAAAAGGGGTTAATCATAGCAAGGTCAGTAGAATTGTTATAGGGATTAAATCAGAACCAGTATTGGCTACTGTGAGTTCTAACAGCCCAACGGAGCAGTTACACTCTATGACAGGAGTCTACTGGTCCTTTAAGATGCCCAAATCTCCCAGCAGCTAGCTGCAAGTCTTCAAGAAGCAGCATGCTGGCATGCTGACACACAGGCCATATCCACCTGGAGTTAGGATAGGACTCTTGTCATCCTGCTGAGCAGCAATGACAGTAGCATCCACTGGTGATTATCCAGCTGTTTGGGAGTTTATTCACCTCCATTGTGGCCAGGAAGAGGATCCCACAGAGGCAAAGCCCTGGGTTCCCACAGCAGGCAGACCAGTATAATGCATACCCAGGGATGCCAACTCTCTCCTCCCAGCTGCTGCCTTCCTCTCTGACACCCAAGAGTTGTCCCCGCCCCACACAGACAGATGCTTGGTAAAGAGTGAATGGATGAAGTGCCTGGGTGGTTAGCAATAACACTTGCCACAGCTGGGCCTCTGGCTTTCCATCTGCACCCCAGACAACTGCCCCTCCCCCCTTCACAGGGTAAGCCACGGGTCTGAAATGACTTGGAAATCCATCGACGGTGGCTCAGAAGCACAAGCTGACATTCCTTGGAATCCTGGCAAAGGCATACCAAAGACGCTGTCTCCTTGGGTCTACCTTTGAGAGCCCTAGGCCAACCCATGGCTCTTCTGACATCACCAGGCCAACCCGTGACTCTTCAGACACTACCAGGCCATATGAAGGCCAAGGACGGGAGTGGGGCTCACACAGTTGCCTTTCCGAGCTGTACCGACTCACACAGCAGTGAGTCCCATCTGTCCCTCCTACAGGGGCTGTCTCAGGAACGCTCCAGCAATCCCACTGGCCAGGTGCGGGCTCCAGGCCCAGTGTGGACATGTCATCTCTGAACCAGCAGTGCAAGGTGTCATGTCTAAATTCCATGAGATGGAATGCCCCAATTCCAGGGGAGACCTCAGGCTGAGACGCATCCTCCCTGAACACCAGCTTTCTAGTCTGAGCTTAAGCAAGGTCCATTTGGGGGGTTGGGGGGGGGACTGGAGAGGACTTCAGGGGGCAGACACAATGGATATCAATGATCAAGGCCCACCCTCCTTCCTACCTTTTAACTTTCAGCGAACACAAAGAGCAGCTACAGGTAAAGATATAGTTAGTCTCTGTCTAAAGGCGAAGACCTCTGAGGAGGGGAGAGAGCAAACTCAGCTTTTATCTGGGATCACGGCTAGGCTAACAGAGGCCTCACTAGAGGCGCCGTCTTTACACAGACCCAGGGAGGAGGAAAGAGATGGACAAGAAGCCATCTGACAGCAGGGTCGTGGATGGGAGCAAGCCAGCACACAGCCCCAAAGAGCCAAGCTGCCTGTGCAGGATAGGAAAGAAGATAAGACCGCCCAGGGGGTGGACATAAGGGGAGGGTGCATGCAAAGGGCAGTGAAGACAGTGAGCCAACCACAGGTTTCTGACCAGGAGAGGGACATGATCTAACTCAGGGGCTCAGACACTCCTGGCTGTGTGGAGGGAGCATAGGCTGTTAGGGGTGGCTCTACAGACACAGTGAGGCCCTGTTCCACAGAGCAGGGGAGACTTAGAGGGGCGGAACTTGTAGAAGAGAAAGATAGGGAGATAACATGGAAAAGTGGGTGACAGTGGCTAGAAGAGAAGCTACATCACGCCTAGAATGCTATTATTAAAGGGCTATCTCAGGTGAGCTCACACCGCTTCCTACTCTCCCAGTATGAATACCCAGCACAATGTCCGATACTTCTCCTATTGCTTGACTAGGCTACACTCACTAACACAGGGAACAAAGGACCCATCAGGAAGCTACCAGGAGACTCCCTAGAGCCAAGTAGCTGAGACTGAGGGTACAGGGACATCGCTTTGAGTGTCCAGCTGGCCTGGGAGGTCCTGGGTACAGTGAACTTTGAAGGCATGAGCCCTCTGGTTCTCATTAGAGAATGCTTTGCCACCCCTATTCCAGGGCACCATTAGAGACATTTCTGATGGCCTCTACGGAAGTGGGGGGAACTTGTAACTGGCACCCAGTAAATGGAGACCAGGGTGCTCTAACCATCCCACAGTGCATAGGGTCATATTCTCATAACCAGGAATCTGACCCCAAAGACCTACAGTACTAAGGCTGAAATCATGGTTCTGTCTGTGAAGTTCTAATAACCAGAAGATGAAAGAAAATGCAGATTTTTGCCCAAGGTTCTACATAAACGTCAGACCTCTAGATTCTCAGAGCTGTCCCTCCTCAACCCTCATTAACTAAAGCCTGTACTGCAACAAAGTCCTCGGGTAACTCTCAGGCCACTAGAAAGCCTAAAGTTGTAGGAAGCTTTGAAAAAAAAAAAAAAATCCTGTCCAGGCCTCAGGTCCCGAACACAGGCCAGAGTGACGAGCAAGCGGAAACAGGCTAGGTCCAGGTTTCAGCGGTCTCTACCTAACTTGCTCCAGCAAGCGGCCACCCGCCAGGGTGGAGGAAGAGAAGCAGGCAGTCCCCACTGCGGAGGCCCCACTCAGTCCCCATCTCTGTCAACAAATATCTTGCCAGTGATTAGCTTCCTGGCATCGAGTAACCTGCCCCCCAGAAGCAGGGCTGCTTTCTGGCAACTGAAGCAAGCGCCCAGACAGATGCCAAGTTCCCAGACTGAAGCAGAGCTGGTGTGGGGAGCTGAGGATCAATTCCACGTGACTTAGCTGTTGACAAGAAACTAGAAGAAAGAAACCCGTCTCATTGTGACTTACAACGGAACACAGTATCTGTCTATGACAGGCCCGGTCTGTGTTTCTAAGCATGGAATGGTGGGCCCAGTCCGCAGATGAAAAGCCAAGGCTAGGTGCAGAGGCCACTCGGCCAAAGTCGTGAGGCAGTGCCCAGTGAGGCCAGGGCTGAAACCGTGGTCTGACTCCTCCAGGCTCTGCTGACTCGGCCGCTGCTTCCCCACTAAGATCTTTACACTACCACCAAGCAGAGTAAGGCCGAGCAGCTTGCTGGGATGGAGAAAGTGGGCTATGCTCCATTGACTGGCCCACCTTCAGGGTGAAAACAACCACATTCTTGGCTGGAAAGTAACAGCCTGCTAACAAGAACTGGTCTTCCCTGTGGTGTGACTCCTGGGAGAGGGCCCTCTGAAGGCTAGTGAGAGTGAGAAACTGAACCTCTCCCCGCACACGGCCACAAGGCCAGAGTCAGGAGCCCCCAGGTTTTGCCTTCAGACACCTCTAGGTCTGAAGGCAATACAGGCTTTGGAAGCATGAATCTCCCTCTTTTCTCTTCTTTTCTTCTTTTCTTTTCTTCTCTCTCCTTCCTATCAA